AAAATAAAAAAAATAAAAAATCAATAAAAAACACCTCAAAGTTCCACTAAATAGACATTTAAAAAATATATATGTATATATAATCAAATTAATGAACTGTAGAATATCCAAACAAAAGAAGACTGTACATATGTAAAGAAAACAAAGTCACTACAACTACTTTCAACATCATAAATTAATCTCACAAGGTTGAGAAAAAGAAGCATGACTCAGCCCTGCCAGTTTGGCTTAGTTGGTTGGGAGTCGTCCTGTGCACCAAAAGGTTGGTGGTTCAATTCCCAGTCGGGAGGCAGCCAATCAATGTCCGCTCTCACATCAATGTTTCTCTCTCTCTCCCTTCCACTCTCTCTAAAAATCAATTAAAAATCTTTAAAATAGAAAAAGGAGCACCACATAAAATATTCAACAGAATGACTTCATATTTCTAAGTTCAAAATGAAGCAAAATTATATAGTTTAGGGATGCATATATACATGATAAAAGTATAAAGTGAATGATTATCACAAAAGTCAGATTAAAAGGTACCTTTAAAAGGAAAGAAAGGATACTGTAGGGCAGTGATTCTCAACCTTCTGGCCCTTTCAATACAGTTCCTCATGTTGTGACCCAACCATAAGAATATTTCCGTTTCTACTTCATAACTGTAATGTTGCTACTGTCATGAATCGTCATGTCAATATCTGATATGCAGGATGGTCTTAGGCGACCCCTGTGAAAGGGCCGTTCGACCGCCAAAGGGGTTGTGACCCACACACAGGTCGAGAACCGCTGCTGTGGGGGAAGACGGGGTACTGATTGAGGGCTGATAATGGGAAATCTTTTTGAGTCATGGAAATGTACTATTCCTTTATCTGGGTGTCAGTTACACATATATAAACTTTATAATTAATCATTTGAAACTCTGCTTACATGTTCCAGGCACCTTTGTGGATGCATATTCTATTTCATGATTGAGAATGTTTAAAAAAATATACAAAGAAAAATGGCCAGCCCGGCCAGCATGGCTCAGTGGTTGAGCATCAGCCTATGAACCAGGAAGACACGGTTCCATTCCCCGTCAGGGCACATGCCCAGGTTGGGGGATCCATCCCCAGTGTGGATCGTGCAGGAGGCGGCTGATCAGTGATTCTCTCTCATCACTGATATTTCCTTCTCTCTCTCGCCCTCTCCCTTCCTCTCTGAAATCAACAAAACATATATTATTTTTAAAAAATCGTATTCCTGCCCTAACCGGTTTGGCTCAGTGGATAGAGCGACGACCTGCGGACGGAAGGGTCCCGGGTTCGATTCCGGTCAAGGGCATGGACCTTGGTTGTGGGCACGTCCCCACTGGGGGGTGTGCAGGAGGCAGCTGATCGATGTTTCTCTCTCATCGATGTTTCTAACTCTCTATCCCTCTCCCTTCCTCTCTGTAAAACACCAATAAATATATATATATATATTTTAAAAATCGTATTCCTTAAAACAGTTTGGGGGTGGGGGGTGGTAAACTGGTAATCTGGTTTTTCAGGGCAGAACCGCGTTTTAGCAAACGGAGATTCCGCGAGCGGGCCACCGTGACATCTATAAACGCCCTGGTCTCCCGCAGACCCTTCTGGGCGCTGAAGGGGTCGGGCGCGGCCCCCCGCGAGACTCCACGCCATCCGGGTTCCCCAGGCACAGGAAGTGGCTGTTGGTCCCGGACGGGCCTGTGGCGGGGTGGGACCCGCTGTCCGCTGTCCCGGGCCCTGAACCCCTGGGTTTCGCCCACGGGCACGCGGCATGGCCGAGGCCTGTGAAGGCCGGGCCTTGGCGTCGCTCGAAGTCGGATTCGATGAGCACAGGGGCTACAGCCAGCTTTCCGGGCTCCGAGGGAGGAAAACGGGGGCACCTCTGCGGCCTCTCAGGTCCCTCAGTTCCGCAGACCCCGGGGGGTGGCGCCCGGCCCCACACCCCCCATATCTAGGAGCGTTTCCGGGCTCCCGAGGGCGGGCCAAGTCGTCCTCACCCTGGCCTGGCGGCCTGGCCTCTCCGGTCCCGTCAGTTAGGCGACAACGAGGGTCCATCAAGAAGCTTCCACTGAGAAGGCTAGTGACGCTCTCGGGGCCCCTTTCGGCCTCGAGGCCTGCTCGCGCCAAGCACCTGAGCTCCTCTGCGCATGCGCCACGCTCTCCCCGCCCCTCCTCTCCTCCCGAGACTCCCACGTGACTAGCAGCCAATGCCCGCCTCGTCCTTTTCAGCTCCCGCCCTCCGTCCACGCATGCGCATGTGCTTCTCTACACACACACACACACACACACACACACACACACACACACACACACACACTGGAGTATTATTCAGCCATAAAAAAGAAGGAAATCCTACCATTTGCGACATGAATGGAACTGGAGGCATTATACCAGGTGCAATTAGACAGAAAAAGACTAACTAGCCAGTGGTTAGAACGGCAGCCGCGCCCCAAGGGTCACAGGTTCAATTCCCTGTCAGGGGCAGGTGCCTGGGTTGTGGTTTCTGTGAGGTAGGCAACCGTTCTGTGTTGTGTGTGTGTGTGTGTGTGTGTGTGTGTGTGTGTCTCCCTCCCTCCCTTGACTCCCTCTGAAAAACAGTGGAAAAAATATCCTCAGGTGAGGATTAATAAGCAAACAAAAAAAAAGAGGGGAAAAAGTCTTTTATATGTGAACAATTTCTTTAAATTTTTAATAATAATAATAGTAACAGAGAGAGTCGCCGAACCGGTTTGGCTCAGTGGATAGAGCGTCGGCCTGCGAACTGAGGGGTCCCGGGTTCGATTCCAGTCAAGGTCATGTACCTTGGTTGCGGGCACATCCCAGTGGGGGACGTGAAGGAGGGAGCTGATCAATCTCTCTCATCGATGTTTCTATCTCTCTCCCTTCTTCTCTGTAAAAAATCAATAAAATATATTTTTTTTTAAAAATAGTAACAGAGTAGAATGGTGGTTGCCAGGGGCTGGAAATGGGGAGATGTAGGTGAAAGGATATAAACTTTCAGTTAAAAAGAATAAATTCTAAGGATCTGATTTATATCATGGTGCTTATACTTAACTAGAGGCCTGACGCACGAAATCTGTGCAAGGGGCTCGGCCCTCGAATCCCTGGCTTCGTCCGGAAGGACATCCAGAAGGTCATTCAGCTGTCCAGTCTAATTTGCATATCATTCTTTTATTATTTTAGATAGTAAAGTATTATATACTGGAAAGTTGCTAAAAGTAGATCTTCAGTGTTCTCACCAGGCACACAAACTATATGAGATGGTGAACCTGCTATTTTAGGTTTGGTAATCATTCCACGATGCATATGTTTATCAAATCATCACGTTGTACACTTTATATAATTACATTTGTCAGTTATTCCCCTTGAGGAGGGGAAGCCCAGCATTAAAAATCAAAATACTGCCAATATGAATTGATCTTTTTATAAGAAAATAAATTGCATTTCAAGCCTTAAAAAAAAAAAAGATAGCAGGTTAGATCTCTCAGGAGAGAGAAAGGGTGCAGTATTCTAAGAGGGGCTGGTTTCCCAGGGCTTGGGTGGGTGTCATGATGGTAGAAACATCCCTAGTTTACCTTGGAAATCTGTGAGGACTTAGGATTTGACAGGATCGGGGAGCCTGTGGGGTGTCAGGGGAGACTTCAGAGGCTGCTAAGCATGCAGCTCAAGCCGAGAGAGATGCTGCAAACCTGAATCCAAATGCCAAGGCCCCAGGCTCAACCCTGGCTCCTCTGGGGCCTCCTCCTCTAGGGGCCCCACTGCAGAGGCAGGAAGTACTGCCTGAGGTTCAGCTTCCGCTCTGGGTGTTTGGCACTGCCCGGCCACCTCTCTCACTCCCACGGACCTTCCCAGTTGGGGCCTGCAACACTTTCACTTCCCTCAGGTGCCCAGCCTCTGCCCCAGCACAGGGGTGCACCTGGTCTACACTTGTTGCCAAAACAGGATGCAGTCTCTGAGAAAGGGGCCGTCACAGAAGGGGGGAGAGTGCTCAATAGAGAAAGGACAGGCGTGCAGAGAGAAGGTGACAGAAATCCAGAGAGGGAGAGGATAGAGACTCGGATTTGGGAGGAGACAGAAACCCAGAGTGAGGGGAACAGACATTCAGAGGAAGACAAAAGTCTCAGAGAGAACCCCGCCGGGGGCGTGGCTCAGTGATTGAGCATCTACCTATGAACTAGGACAGTGGTCAGCAAACTCATTAGTCAACAGAGCCAAATATCAACAGTACTTCTTCAAAATAGACTCGCCCAGGCCGAAAACCGACTTCTGGGCATGGGCCACGAAGTTTCAATCGCACTGTACGTGCGCACCCGCACGTGGTATTTTGTGGAAGAGCCACACTCAAGGGGCCAAAGAACCACATGTGGCTCGCGAGCCGCAGTTTGCCGACCACGGAACTCAGAGATCACAGTTTGATTCCTGGTCAGGGCTCCATTCCCAGTGGGGGCCGATGGGGCCGATGGGTGATTCTCTCTCATCATTGATATTTCTATCTCTCCCTCTCTGAAATCAATAAAAATATTTTTTAACTCAGAGAGAAAAACACACACACACACCAAAAAAAGGGAGGGGGAGGGGACATACAAAATAAAAAGACTCAGAGAGAAGGAAACAGACCCAGAGAGGGAAGGACAAGGGACCCAAGGCTGGGAAGTGGGGACAGAGATGGATGCAGAAATGGCAGAGCTCAGCAGGCAGTGAGGTCAGAGTGTCTGTGAGGTCGGCTGCTGTCCGGGGCCAGCCTGGGGTTCTGGTGCCCAGAGTAAGTGGGTACAAGTGGATCAGGAGTCCCTGTGGGTCCCCCAGCCTGCGCCATGGACACCTGGGAGGAAGGGCCCAGGGTGTCCTTGGTGTCCACAAATTCCAAGGCCCCTCAGGTACTGGTGTGTGTGGGTCCCAGTGGGGCGAGTGAGGGAGCCAGGGACGGAGACAGAATAAAACCACTTTGTGTGTAGAGGGAGGGGGTGAGGCTCCACCCGGGGCACTTCCTCTTTCTCTGTGTTCTTCCTTTCTGTCTGTCTCAGCCTCTCCTCCTCGTTCAAGGCTTCTGTCTCCCCGTCTCCCCACTGCCAACTCCTCCTCTGACCACTCACCCCTCCAGGCCACGATGTCGGCCCAGGACAGCTGCCTCAGCCTCATCAAGTACCTCCTCTTCGTTTTCAACCTCTTCTTTTTCGTAAGTTGTCTCATGGCCATCCAGCCTGGGCCCCGGGCCCCGCCGTCGCCGCCCCACCCCGCCTCGTATCCCCACTTGCCCACCACCACCACCTTCTCCTCTCCTCTCCGAAGGTCCTAGGCAGCCTGATTTTCTGCTTCGGTATCTGGATCCTCGTGGACAAGACCAGCTTCGTGTCATTTGTGGGTGAGGGGGCCAGGGCGGTCGGGGCGGGCCTTCCTGGAACAGCATGGACCCGACCTCCCAGCGAGTAGCCTCCTGGGGCCTCCCTTGCCCACGGGAGCCCCTCAGGGCTCATTCTGCAGGCAGGTCCCGGGCTCTGCAAAGCTTGCTACTGCCCTGCCTCTCCAAGCCTCGGTGTGTTCCTCTGGCAAACAGTTGTGCGGACGGACCACTCAGAACAATAATAGTCATTTCTTAGGCACTTCCTATGGGTCAGACCTTGTGCAAACGCCCATAGGATCCTCCCCACAAACCTTTCCTGAGGTTCAGAGAGGGGGAGTCACATACTGGATGTCACTCAGCAAGGAAGTAACACGGATATAACACTAATAATAATAATAATAATAATAATAATAATAATAGGAAAATAATAATGGGGTAATAGCGAAACTCCTCATGGTTCCTAGTTCATGTGTTTGCCCTGGGCTGAGGACTGGATTGAACACGTCCCTCCCAGGTCCCTCAAAGCAACCCCAGGAAATAGATAGCATTACCCCTAGGCCTCAGGGAGGTTAAAGTGACTCATCCGATGTTGGCAGAACAAGTGATGGGGCTGAAACCACGGGGAGTGAGGAGGAGCTGGAGGAGGAGGGAGACTGAGAGAGAGAAGGAGAGGCTGAGAGCTGACGGGAGGAAGAGGGACAGAGGCTCAGAGAGAGAACAGAATCCCAGAGGAGAGGGACAGAGGCTCAGGGTGGGGCAGGGCCGGAGGCCCAGAGAAAGGGGTGCCCAGGAGCCCAGAAAGAAGCCCCCAGGACACTGCTCCCTCCGGCGTGGGTGGGGCTGGGGCTGGGGGCTGCCTGGCGCTGTGCACCTCAGACTCAGTGTCGCTGCCTCTCCTCCCCTAGGCTTGTCCTTCATGCCCCTGCAGATCTGGTCCAAGGCGCTGGCCATCTCAGGGGTCCTCACCATGGGCCTGGCCCTGCTGGGCTGCGTGGGGGCCCTAAAGGAGCTGCGCTGCCTCCTGGGCCTGGTGAGTGCGCGGCCCCTCTCCGTCCCTAGGACCACTCCCCCCTCCCCTGGGCAGGGGCTCAGCCTGACCTCTCCACTCTGCCCCCCAGTATTTTGGGATGCTGCTGCTCCTGTTTGTCACCCAGATCACCCTGGGGATCCTCATCTCCACTCAGAAGATCCGGGTAAGCTTGCCTGCTCCCCCCCAACCCCCTCCCCCACACACACACACACACACCCCGCCTTCCGCAGCTAGTGGGTGGACTTGGAGGGGGTGGGGTGGAAAAAGACGTAAACAAAGGCAGACAGGGACCGACAGACAAATAACAGAGAAGCAGAAGAGAGAAACAGCCGCGAGGACAGAACAGAGACAGAGACAGAGAGAGACACAGAGAGAGACACAGAGAGACACAGAGAGGTAGGGACAGGAGAGGCAGAGACCCGCACGGACGGAAGAAGAGAGACCGAGATCCCGAGGGAAGCAGGAGAGAGAGGCACGCAGAGAAACGGGCTCTGAGGAGGAGACAGCGGCCTAATGAGAAATGGTGGGAAATGAGGAGAGAACCAGAAAGACGGTAGAAACGGGCAGAGAAAGCTTTTCAGGAAGAGACACAGGTAACAACCATTCAGGGAGGAACCGGTGCTCAGGGACCCCGGGGGTCGGCGCAGATGGGGGGGGGGAGGCAGGTGGGCGTCCAGCCTCACTCTCGGCCTCTCAGCTGGAGCGGAAGGTGAAGGAGCTCGTGCAGGAGACGATCCAAAACTACCGCTCGGACCCGGAGAAGTCCGCGGCGGAGGAGAGCTGGGACTACGTACAGTTCCAGGTGCGTGAGGCCCCCGCCCGCCCGCCCTCCGGGAGGAGCAGCCGCCCTCTAGCTGCCCCGAATGTACCCCCACCTGCGCACCCCACTCCCGCCACGCCCGCTGGCGCCCCGCCCTCCGATGACCCCATAACTGGCCCCATTATGGCCCAGTTCCCCAGCTCCCTCCAGACCCTGGAAAGGCCCGGCCCTCTGCCTTGACAGGACCCACCCTCACCCCCAAGGCCCTAGCGTGACCCCAATCCCCGCCCCTAGCGACTCTGGGTCCCACGGGACCCGGCCCACCTGCGACTCTGTTCTCTGGTCACTCTTGTGGCCCCGCCTCCCCATCCACCTGCTCCCTAACTAAGGCTGAATGCACTGCCCACCCGATTTCCGGCCCACAGCGTGATGCTGCAGCTTCTCCTCCAGCCCCAGGTCGCCCCGTGATTCGTCTCTCTCAACCCCATGTTCCCCTAGTGTCCCTTGATCCTGTCGGGACCCCAGCCCAGCCCACAGCCCCCACCCTGCACCCATTACTCGGGCCCCCTGCTCCCACCTTGACCTCATACCATGACCCAGTCCCCTGATCCCCCAAACCAGTGGTCGGCAAACTCATTAACCAACAGAGCCAAATACCAACAGTACAACCATTGAAATTTCTTTTGAGAGCCAAATTTTCTTAAACTATATAGGTAGGTACATTGTTATTAACTTCATTAGGGTGCTCCTAAGCTGGCCTTGGCTAAAAACGTCCTCAATCTGATTGCGGTACCTTCGCTGAGGTCGACCCCTTCCAACTCTCCCATCCACCCTCCTCTTGCACACTCGTTTCGTCCATCTCCTTTCGGAAAACCGACTTCTGCGCACGGGCCACGAAGTTTCAATCGCACTGTACGTGCGCGCATCGCACGTGATATTTTGTGGAAGAGCCACACTCAAGGGGCCAAAGAGTCGCATGTGGCTCGCGAGCCACGGTTTGCGGACCAGAGCCCCCAGCCATCTTGCCTCCCCCCCCCCCGCCCGGGCCCCTCTGACCCTGTCCCTCTCCCAGCTGCGCTGCTGCGGCTGGAACTCTCCCCAGGACTGGTTCCGTGTGCCCAGCATGAGAAACAACGCGTCGGTGTTCAACGTGCCCTGCTCCTGCCGTAACTCATCGGGGACCAACGACTCGGCGATCTTCAATACGACCTCCCTCTCCCAGTTCAGCCGCGGCGGAGCCCTGGCGCGGCCCAGACACAGCGCGGACCTGTGCGTCGTCGCTGCAAACAGCGGCACCTACCGCGAGGTGGGAAGCGGCGCGGCCTAAGGCTGGGGTAGGACGTCTGGGGGGGTAGGGTGGGGGGCGGGGGTAAGGGGTACGGTCCCCCGGAGGCGGGACCTCACCCTCCGGGCGGGGTCTGAATGGAGGGTGGGGCTACGAGAAATCGTGGCGGGTTCTTTTTTTAATATATTTTATTGATTATTTACAGAGAGAAAGGGAGAGGGATAGAGAGTTAGAAACATTGATGAGAGAGAAACATCAATTCAGCTGCCTCCTGCACACCCCCCACTGGGGATGTGCCCACAACCAAGGTCCATGCCCTTGACCGGAATCGAACCCGGGACCCTTCAGTCCACAGGCCGACGCTCTATCCCCTGAGCCAAACCAGTTAGGGCAGTGGCCGGTTCTTGGGGAAGGTGGGGCCTAAAGAGAAGGGGGAGGACCTGGAGCGCTGATGCCGGGGGGTGGGTGTGGGGTGGGGGTTTGTTTTGAGCGAAGAGATGAGAGAAGCCTGGTTAACTGGGGTACCAGGGGCGTGAGCGCGAACCCCAGAAAAAGCCCTGCCTTTCGCCTTTCTCTACACCCGCAGGGCTGCGCGCGGAGCCTGCAGAAGTGGTTGCACAACAACCTCATCTCCGTCGTGGGCATCTGCCTGGGCGTCGGTCTACTCGAGGTAATCGGGTCCCAGCCTCACTCGCGATTGGCTGCACAACCCTTAGGTAGCCCCGCCCCAAATTGCACGCAGCCCATTCAAGCTTTCCGGCCGCTCCGCCCGGGAGAGAGACCCAGCCTCTGCGAGCCGACGGCTTGCACACCGGGAGGTATTCCCCCCTCCCCGCTCTCCATCGCGAGCCTCCCACCGGCCTTGCTCGGCAAACCAGCCTCTTGCTATTGGGCAAACCAGCCTCTTGCTATTGGCCGCAATGCCCCCCCCCCCCCCCTTTCCCGGCAGGTGAGTGTGGCGGGGCTGAGCCTGCTCCTGCCACGCCGAGCAACCCGCCGGGAACCCCAGCCGCCGGGGCCGGGCGCCGAGGGTTCGTGCCCAGGGCCGGGCCTGAGCGCGGATGGCGGCAACGGGCGAGGCGGTGTGCTGAGCAGCAGCGGGCGTAGCGGCAGTCTGTGGGGTGGCTGGGGCAGGGCGGATGCTTGCCCCAACTGGGGGGACAAGGCCCCGCAGGGCAAGCTGCCCATGGCCCTGGGGCCCTGGCCGCTTTGGGATCAAGACGAGGAACAGCCTGAGACCGGGAGCGCGGGCGCGCAGGCGGAGGCAGACAGGAAGACAGAGGCGCCTCCAGAATAAAGGGCTTGGTCCAGATCGCACTACTTTTCCAGACTCTAGACCTGCGTTAGACGCAGCTGGTTCCTCCTACCCCGACCTATTCCTACCTCCCGGCCGGTCAGCATCTTTTGGTTGACCTATCCCATGACCTCCTGCCCTTTTACCCTTAACTCCACCCTCCCCCTCTCTTCGTCTCTTCCCCTAAACGCCCTTCCTGGACCCCATCTTTCACAACCAGGCCCAGTTCTCCCTCTAGCCCCGCCCTACCCAACTCTAGGTCTCATTTCCTTTTCTGGACCCACCCCCTGACTTTCCTCCCATAGGACCCCCCACACACCCCATCTTCCTCTCATCGCCACCCCCTCGACCTCTCTGATCGCGTCTCCTTTCTCTATAGCTCAGCTTCATGACGCTCTCCATATTCCTGTGCAGAAACCTGGACAAAGTCTACGACAGGCTCGCCCGGTACCGATAGGCCCCGCCCCCCTCCCCAAAGCCCCGCCCCTGCCCCTTCAAGTACCCTGGGATCTTACCTCCCTGTGGCCTGTAAATATTTGTTTAAACCCCAGTTCTCCCCAGGCACTGAGCCCTCTGCCTCCTCATTCCCCCCGGGGAACCAGGTGTCAGCCTGCCCCCTTATCATCACCTCTCTCTCGTGGGACTTGGGGCTTCCCACCACCAACTTCCTGTCCCCAAAGATACCTCATTTCAGTGACTCATGTCAGTCTACCACCGCCCGCAAGATCATTTCTCACTCAAACTTCAAATAAATCCCCTACGTTTCGGTAAAATAGCTTTATCTCTGTCAAAACACAAACCAACACAATTTGGGGCGGGAGGGATGGTGGTGAACAATTCAGGCTAGCCTTGGCTCAGGTAGAAGAGGGGAGACATTCAAAAGCTACCCCCCCCCACACACACACACACACACTGCTTGCCCAGCTGAGAAAAAAGTCACGACCCTAACACCCACTTATAAATATCTGTTATATTAAAAAAAAAAAAAAATTTCCAGGGCCCACCTGGCCCTGCACAGAAAGGGTTAACCTTCAGTATTTGATGTCGGGGTCACAGGGCGGGGGGGGGGGGGGGGGGTGGTAAGGGGAGGCAGATTGGGGAAAGAAGGGGTGAAAAACAAAGAGAGGACAAGCCAATATGTAAGTAGGGCTCTCCCAAACATCCAGACGGAGCGGGGTGAGGGCCCCTGGTAGAGACAGAGGCCAGGGCTGTGCCCTCAGGGTACCCGGTCCCCAGTCCCTGGTGCTCTGGAGTGACCTGTCCTTCCACACCCATGAGGTCCCAACATCAGGATCCATCCCTTCCCCTCGGTCGCAGCCCGGCTTGCAAGGTCCCCTCCGACAGGAGCAGCCCCCTCTCCAAATAAGAGGCCTCAGGCAAGCCTGGGGGTCCATGCTGGGGGGAGCCACTTTTGGGGCTCCCCCTTCAGTCCCTGACCAGGCGATAGATGTGGTGCTGGGCGCCCCGCTCACTGGTGGAGACTTCGAAGACGTAGGCGGTGCAGAGCAGCAGCTCCTGGGTGTCGCGGTTCGTCACCACCTGCCAAGGGGGCCAGAGAAGGGGTTTGTGCTTAGAAGGGACCCCTGTGCCCTCCCTCAGTCATCATGGGGCCCCCAGGAAAAGGTTCCCACCACGTCACAGGTCCCAGGCAGAGGGGATGCTCAACATGCCCGCGAAGGGCCTGGCATCAGAAGTCCCCACATCACATCCCCAGGTGAAGGGTCCCCAGCTCAGCACATTCCTCAAAGTCAAAGGGATCCCACCCAATCGTGTTTCCTGGGCTAAGGTTAGGTTCCCTGTACAGAAGGTCCCCTCAGCTAAGGACCCACCATGACTCCTCCAGGTCAGTTCCCCAGGGAAGGGGGGTCCCTCATGAGAATGCTGTGGAGTCCCCACCATATCAGTCCCCTGGGTCATGGGAACCCCTTAAGCCAGTGGTCGGCAAACTCATGAGTCAACAGAGCCAAATATCAACAGTACAACGATTGAAATTTCTTTTGAGAGCCAAATTTTTTAAACTTAAACTATATACATTGTTATTAACTTCATTAGGGTACTCCTAAGGCTTAGGAAGAGCCACACTCAAGGGGCCAAAGAGCCGCATGTGGCTCGCGAGCCGCAGTTGGCCGACCACGGCCCTAAGCCACGGGTTAACTGCAGGGTCCCCACTGTGTCAGTCCCCCAGGTGCGAGGGTCTGGGGCTGAGGGGCTGTGGCGGGCCCGCCCTCCACACCTGGGCCCCCCGCGGCCCAGCCTCAGCGCATCGCCTGGAGCAGCGGTTCTCAACCTGTGGGTCGCGACCCCTTTGGCGGTCGAACGACCCTTTCACAGGGGTCGCCTAAGACCATCCTGCATATCAGATATGTACATGACGATTCAGAACAGTAGCAACATGACAGTGATGAAGTAGCAACGGAAATCATGTAATGGTTGGGTCACAACATGAGGAACTGTATTGAAAGGGCCAGAAGGTTGAGAGCCACCGACCTGGAGGATGGTGAAGTTCTCCAGGACGCTGTTCATCATGTACCGCTCGGGCAGCTGCCGCAGCTTGTGCAAGAAATTCACCAGGTACTCGCACATGGGCGAGCGCAGCAGGCGGTACACAAACCTCCCGTCCTCCAGCTGGGCGCGCTCCGTCTGAACCAGGTGGAGAGGAGTGGGGAGGACGGTGACTGAGACACACATGGGTCACCCCAGGAGCCCAGCCACCCCGCCCCCCCACTGCCATCTCCCCTCTCCGCTGCCCCATCTGCAGTGACCAGAGACAGGCCTGAACCCGCAGGTGTCCAACTGAGGATCACTGAGCCTGCAAACCAGAGACACCCCCAGGCCCTCAAAGCCGTGCTCTGAACCCTCCATGACCTCTGAACTCCTCTGATCCCTGGTACCCTCAAGCCCTCCAGGCCCCTCAGTGAGATCCCCAAACTCTATAACCTTTGAAATGGAGACCCAGCAAGTCCTCAGCAACCCAACTGTGACCACTGAACCTCCCGGCCCTGTGAACTCTGCCACATTCCCAGGAATCTTTTGTATCTTAGTGACTGTGCATCTCTGTCCCACGTGTTACCTTTGAACCCTCAAAGCGACCCTTACATGAGACTTTAGAATGCCACATTAGCTCTACGCCTGTGCATTAAACCCCCAAAGAGGCTGGGCCACCCCCACCCCACCATGAAGACAACCCCAATGCCTGAGCTGTCGTGGCTCCCGGTCCATTTATTTACTCTGCACCCCCAGAGTGCCAGGTGCCTGGGTGCTCCCCCGCCCAGAACTCCACCCCTCCGGCCTCACCTCCACTTTCTCCACCACTTGCTTGCCAAAGGAGCAGACTTTGGAGGAGCAGGTGAGAGTCATGTGCTCCAGGCTCTCGTACTGGCTGCTCACACCATAGAAGCCACCACTGCTGCCAGCGGCCCCCACCTCCTCACCACTCGGGCCCCAGTTCAGGTCCGCCTGGGGGATGGGGAGACACAGATTAAGTTGGAGGAGACATTCCTTATAGACATCCCTTATAAATGGTGGAGACTCGGCCTGGCCGGTGTGGCTCAGTGGTTGTGTATTGACTTATGAACCAGGAGGCCACAGTTCGATTCCTGGTCAGGGCACATGTCTGGGTTGTGGGCTCGATCCCCAGTGTGGGGCAGGCAGGAGGCAGCCGATCAATGATTCTCTCTCATCATTGATGTTTCTTTTGTTCTTTTCTCTTTTTCTTTTTATTAATTTCAGAACGGAAGGGAGAGGGAGAGAGAGATAGAAACATTAATGATCATTCATGGGTCACCTCCTGCACGCTCCCCAGTGGGGACCGAGCCTACAACCCGGGCATGTGGCCTTGACTGGAATCGAACCTGGGACCCTTTAGTCCGCAGGCCGACGCTCTAGCCACTGAGCCAAACCAGATAGGGCTCATCACTGATGTTTCTAGCTCCCTCTCCCTTCCTTTCTGAAATCAATAAAAAAAAAATTTTTTTAAATAAATAAACAGTGGAAACTCTTATAACATAGGAACTCTGTTAGAAGGAGCTCATGGCCTGGTTTCTCCCATTTGCCCCCTAGCTGCCCACCTCACTTCCTCCGTGTTCAAAGTCCCCACCTCTCCAAGTGCCGGCTTCACAAGTCTGAGTCCCCAGAATGATCCTGACCCTCTCTGCCCAGTGAGCCCCCCGCCCAAGGAGCCCTGCTATTCAACAGTTTTGCTCCTGAAGCCCCCAACTCAAGAGTTCAGCCTCTTCCAAGGGCCTGGTTACTAAGGAGGGAGTTATTGCCTAGCAACCGGAGGCTCTCCCCCAGAGCCCTTAGCAACCCTGGTTGCTAAGACAAGGGGCTATTTCCTAGCAACGGAGCCTGGCTCCTCTTCAGAACACCCTCTGGGGCCCTTGCAGCTGATTCTCAGAGGTCAGACCCCTCATGTCCCAGTGGCCAAGTGAGCAGACAATCGTTATGCCAGGTGGGGGTCTGAGACCTCATAGCACCTTTGGCCTGAGCCCCTTGGTCACCCTACCTTCCTGGGAGGCAGACCTCTTCCTCTCCCTAACTTGAGTTATCAGCTTGACCAGGTCCTTTGAGGCCTGACTCCATCCATCCCTCCAGCACCAGGGCCTTGTGAAGCCAGACAAATACTGAAGGCCTCTCCAGCCACTCCCTGCGTCCCTTCAGATGCAGGGCTTCTATGGGCCGCTCTCCACTCCTGGCACCTGGTGCAGCCCGTCTTAAGCCCTAGCAATGCCTACAGCCTCAGCAACACATCCCCAGAGCTGTCTGGGGCCTCCACTTCACACGCTAGAACCCTTGGTAACCGCAGTAGCTACGGGTCCAGCAAGGCCAGCAAACTTCAGGCCCTCTGCACGCTTCCTTCTCAGAGATTAGATCCCTCCACTGCCCTGGTTACCACAAGAGGTAACACCCCGCAAACATTCACCTAAATTGAACCCCTATAGCATCAGCCACTGGACTGGACACCAAACCAAATAGGCCTAAGAAAGACTCAAATGGACCCACAATTATTTTATGGAACCTGGCATAGGGCTTTGTATATAGTAAGTGCTCAATAAATGATTGTTCAGTAAATACGGGACCTTACAAAGCCACCCCCCAGCTCCTTCAGTGGTACCCGCAAGGCCAGACATTCTCTAACAACAGGGTCTGGTGGAAAGTAGCATCCCCTCTTAGAGGCCAAAATTCGCCCAAACTTCATTTGCTAAGGGGAGGAGGACATTCCCTAGCAACAAGGCTATAGTGTGGGCACGTGGGATGTAGGGAAGTCTGAAACGACACAACCCAATCCCAAGGGTTGTATCAGTCACACGACTTGGTGTGGCAACGTCTAGTGCAGGGGTGGGCAAACT